CTCATTGTCTGATTCTACATTATCACATAGTCGTATGTAATCTCGGGAGTGGGAATGTAAGATAAATTGTATAAACTTGCTCATAAAAAATAAAACATTATTGATTAAACAAGCCTGGCAATTATTATGTTTTAAAAAAATTAGCAACTCCTTTATAAAGAACGTTGAACCACGTGTGTTTCTTTTTACACCATCATTTCCTTAGCGTAAGTTAAGTCAAAAGTATAAACGTGAAAATTTATAGCTTTAGCTTTACTATCATGGATTAGATTGGAAATCTGGTAATGTTAATTATACAGAAGTTGGGAATGTACTACGAGGAAATCTCAAAGAAGCTAAAAAGATTTTTGTAGTTGAAGAACTGAAGAAAAGGTGATTTGAAAGGTTTAACTTTCAAGTTAATGACATGGTTGATTATCCAGTGTTTAAACTACCAATATAAGCAACTACATGTCCTTACCATAACACTGCGTATAAATCGATATGTGCCACCCACAATGTCAAACGAATAAAAAAATTCTACTTTGCTATGGAGTGGGAAGATGTCACTGATTCTGAAGATGATGCATTATAAAAACTTAACAAGACTTTTTATTTCTTAATTATTGTTACAAATAAATGTATTGAGTTTATATTATTGTTATAATTTATTTAACCTTTTCCTGAAACGAGCATAAGATTAAAACATACAGAACCAACGATTAACTTTTATAAGACAGAAACATACACTAGCACAGAGTAGAACGTATTTAAACGAATTTTAGCGTAGAGTTCTGCTTAGTTTATCACTCAGCATCAAGCGTGACGGATGCGCGCTTATGTCATAGTTCGTACGACGTTTTTGAGCTACAAAATGAAAAATAGATTTATACTCGGATTAGGTTATAGAGATTGATGGTTTTCTCGACGCTTCTCGACAGTTTTTACCAAAAAAAGTGTCTGTTGTGTCTCTTATGGTGCCAGCCATCAGTCATTGGATTGTGCGGCCCCCTCGCCATTTTTCTACTTCACCCATGGATATGCGCTGGAACAACGATTATTAGTCGAAGAAAGTGCATGTACTTTGCTGATTCGAGGGTGCTTGTTCCATAAAAAAATTATAGCAGCACTTGTACTCTGTTGCAAAAAATGCACACTGAATTAACATTTATAAAAATAGTACAGATGCTTATTTGGAATCCACCATAGAGTGTGATGTGATTAACACTCAGTAGTATATGATGCCATCGCGATACATTCTAAGTATGGGTTCTTCAACAAAGGCGTTAATGTGTGGTGCTAATAAGGCACAAAAAAGTCTACGTAGAAAGAAATTTTGCACACTTAGTAAAGCTTATTAAATTAAATTATTTCTGTGCCCTTGGTATAAAGCAGCATCGAACTGGACACGAAATGATTTATAACCGCACTTAGTAGTCATAAGAAGAAAATTTTTAAAACGCCTTCTTGTTAGGATATCGTTGTCGGACCTACTACTGCTAATGCTGATAGTGACTCTGAAACTAATTATAATATTGATGACAAAAAATGACTGTGTAAGCAAAGAAGAAAAAAAGTATGAAATTCAGGATAAAAAATATTAAAGTACATCTTGCAGCTTAGTGCGAATAAATTAGTGCCTTCTTATAAGCTAATAGAAACTTGCGTATACCCACAGTTATCCTGTGACGATTGAGCAGCCAACATCAAAAAACATGTGTCCATACCTTAGCAAACCAAAATACGAGAGCCTTAGTGAGAAAAAAGAGGATAAAAAAGCCAAACACCTTTAATAGAAAAGCACTTTTTACAAAGAAAGATGGATATCATATACTTAAAAAAATCAATTATTGGTTCTTGCTAGGGCTATAAAAATTTTTTTTTGTATTTTTTGAAGCTATTACGCTAAAACTATCAAAATATGTTACGTCATCACCTTCTTCTTTGTATGCATTTAAATAAGTAACAAAACCTTTTTTATCATCTAGATTAACAATAGCTGATTCATTTTGGTGTGGACCACTAAATGGCACATCGCTTCTCATGAATATTTCTCGAAAATTTTATATTTTTAATATTTTTGCAAATTTCATAATATCTTTATATGTGAGAACTCGATTAGGCAGTTTTACTTCAAACTTCTTTTTAAATCCCCTTCCTGGTTTCAAGTATAGATCTAAACCTTTATTATGTGGCTTTAGGAAGAGGCCTTTACCAAGTAAAAAAGCTTTTATCTTTTTTATTGTGTCTTGCATTCTTTTCAAGCTGTTTATTAGCTTTGTTTACTTGATTTATTGTCTTATACATACCACTCATACCATTAGCAATAGCTCCTGCAGCACTTAAATCTGCAAATGTGGGTACGATGTATGGAAAAAAATTTCTAATTATTTGATGTATGTATAACATGCGTTTGTTCTAATACTTCTCTCACCACCAGCTTTTTTTATGGCTGCTAGAGCTCCTTTTAAAACAGACTTACAACTTTACGAGCACATTTACTTGTAACCATAGACTTCTTAGCACTTTACATTAAGTTATTCAAAGTCACTATCTTTTTAACTTTCTTCTTTTTTATCTACTTTTTGTTTTTTTATATTTCGAAAAACCTATTCCTAATTTAGATTACACTTTCATTGTGCTGCTTATAGCAAAAGTGGTACCTTTTTCACTAATACTTGAATCTTTAGCTTTGAAGCTTTACAAAGCCTTTTCTGAAATAATTTTATCTGCTACGTTTCTAGCCATACTGTTTTTAGAATTTTGAGAATAAGTTATATCGTGTTGTTGACAAGCTTTATCTAATAAGTTGATGCCCCGATCTTTACGGGCTTATCTCTTAGCTAGTTGAGTGCCCTGTCTACATTACTGATATCCTGGTACGTGCAGCTCTACTGGTAGTTTGTTTATGGCTGTAGTTGTGACACCACAACCTTTTCGTCGACACGTGATCATCTCTTCACATGTGTGAAACGTAAACTGAGCTCGTCAACATAATCAGCACGCTATTTATAATGGAAAAAAAAGTTTTATTTAATGTTTCATAACATTTTAATGACACTATCACTTTAGTCTCAGTTGAGTCAGCATACAGCTGACATGAGCTTCGTGGAACAGAATATTCAACTTTTTGTCGTAAATGTTAATTATATTGTTGAACAAGATAAGAAACTAAAATGCCACGGTGATTTGCTACCCGATAATATAAGAGCTGTTTTTTTTGGTCCATCAAACTGTGAAACACGAATAACCCACTATCTATTTATACACACTTCAATAGATTAAGAGTTGAGAATATTTATTTGTACTCAAAATCTTTAGATCAACTTAAGTGTAAGTTTTTAAAAGAACTATTAGATTTTATAGATGGTGTAAAAATTTTTTATTTAGCGAACATGAATCAGTTATATCAGTGGATAAGGCACTACCCTACTTCACAACGATATTTAATGACATTGCCTGTGAACTGTTATGTTAACATGTTAACTTTCTATCCCTGCATTATTTATAAGTAAATTAAAAGTACCAAAAACTTTTTTCACCCTTGCATCATAAGCTTTTTGTCTAGTAAGTAAGTATGTTATCATAACTTTTTCTTCAAGATTATGCTTTCAATATGGCTTCAACCTATGAGGCGACCTATATCCTCCTTTTAAGATAGAAATAGTCAACATACCTTGAAATTAAATTTTAAGGCAACTTGTATCCTTGCAAACTTCTTATGGCCCTGGACTCAAAGACTTTAAAAAAAACTGAGCCACTGTAATTAATTTTAAACTAAAGCTTACTGTACGAAATGTTTTTCAACTTTCTTTGACAATACTTCGTTTACTTTCTAGTTTTTACATAGTTTTATAGTATGCTCAGAGCTTTGTAAGATATAACTGTTTGATTAGTTGGTCGAAAAATAATGTAGGGTAAAAGTCTTTCCGTTGTTCTTCTTCAATTCCATTGATGCATTTATATCACTACCATATAAAACTAATATATTAAAATATACTACGCAAAGGGCATACTTCAATTTTTTTTCTCCAATATTTATATTATAATTTACACAAAGTCTTTAAAAAATTAGTTCAAAAAACAATTAGTTTTACTAACTCATGTAGAATTACTTATGACTTATGAAGTAGGTATATGAAACTTAAAAAGTAAACAAATTTCCTTCGTGTCAATAATTATACAAACATTATAGACCTTTATTCTGCACTACTTTTTTATACATCAGTCAAAAATAGTTCAAAAAATTTCTAAGCAAATGAGCAAGTTTTTTTGACCTGTGAAAAACTAACAAAAATAATGAATTAATTGCGGTACATAAAGATATTTTCTATTTCTGGCATTTTCTTTGTCCAATTTACTAATAAATTATACGTAAAAGAAAATGTAGGTATTCAAAAGACCTACAGTATGAGCTACAATCGTGAATAATTAGATTATTGGTTCAGTTGCAAAGTAAGAAAAACTAACGAAAGAGCAGTATTAGAAATTCGCTTATTAATAAATTATACAGAAACAGCTTTAAAAACAACATCCTTTTTAAGGGATATTGTTGTACCATACAAGAGCTACGATTGAAGTATTTCTACAGACGCTTTAGGTTATTTATTTGTTAGTTATAAAGATATCCAAAACATTGATATTTCATTAGTTTTCTGCACTTCACAACGATTGTATATGATTACGATCGGAATATCAAAATTTTTTTTATCAGATTTTTCCAACTAATCTAACAAAAAAACGTGTCAGTCAAAAAAGGCCGTATTTATGGAGTAATTGTTTTACAATAAGACTTTAGACTAAAATACGGTTGTTAAAAAAGATATACTACTATCATACATTTATGAGGCGTAAAAAACAGGCAAATTAACTCCAGTACTTTTTTTTTCAAACAGATTATGAATGTTTTCTATTCTTGATCTATAAAAAACAAAACACTTGTTTCAATCGTAATATAATATAAGGCTTATAAGCTTTGCAAGTTCTGATTTGACTTAACATACATTTCAACTTTACTATACCTTGAAACTGCTAGTGCAGTTATGGAAGCTGGTTCTCTGTTATCCTTGCGATCGTAAGCAGTATGCATAGTAAGCTTATTTTTGAACACCAATTGTCGCTGCCATCTAAATCCTTTTTTTAAAATATTTTGAGAATCGGTCTTTTTACAGTTAATGTCAGCCTCTGTGACCATAACAAAACCATCTGTAAGACTTGTGTCACTTTTACTAGTTCTCATAACTAAATCTGTATCTGCATCTAAATTGCTATTTTTCCTACAATAATCAAAGTTATTAGTTATTAACACTAAGAAATTCAGAAAAAAATATAAGTATTAACTACAAAAGTAACGAAAGTTCTGATTACATTTTACAGTTGTTCCTAAATAAGTATAGATAACAAGTGATGAAATAAGCTTAAAAACAATAGTTAAAAATTGATTTAAATACACATTTATATACAAACACATACACAATATGTGGTTTTATACTTCAAAGCTGGCTATACCTATTTGACTGGACTTTTTACCGTGTAAAAGTAAGACTCTTTAAGCAATTTAATTTACATTATTACAGTTGTTTTATTATAATCCAAAATTATTTTTTATTTAACCGTTGTAAGATAAAAAAAGGAAGCTTTTTTTTGAAAAGAAGTAGACCTAGAATTATTTTCTTTTCCTCCTGAAACGATTCTGTTAATTGGCTTTCAAGTCTAGAAATTTGTAATATGTTTATAAAGGGAATCATCAGCTATTCTATCCTGAAAAAAATTGTCACGTGACTGAATTAAAAGTGTTTAGAGTTTATGATTCTTCTGCTTGATTAAATTCAAATCATCCCACGTATGGTTAATAACGAGTGGTTATGAGCCAATCCTAAAGCGACACATTGTATTTCGGCGTCCAATCAGGCTTTGTAATGTAAAGCAAGCAGCGGTTCACTGCAATAGAGCGTTGTATCAGTAGTCAGTTCGCCTCCGATCGTCGAGCTCTCAGCACTAGTATTATGCGTAGTGATAGATACAAGTATCGTAAGTATCTAACTCTACTGGTCGAGCCACTTTACCCACCTAGTCTGTACACTCGTAATGTGCATTGTTTATTGTTATTGTTTTGAGTTTATTGTAACTGATTTGGGGTTAGGAAGGAGTTTGAAAGGTGTTGCGTATTAAATAGTTTAGATAAGTGATTGATTAGCAATAAAGTGCTGATTTGTATTAAAGTGCTTCTTCCTCAATTCAACACTAATCCACCAATTCTATTCCTCATAAATCCATGAAATTCGTACATGTATCAAACAAAATGAAATGATTTCTTCATTTGCTTACACACTGGAAAAATACTTATACAAAAAAAATTACGTAATTTAAATTAAAAAAAAATAATATCACACGCAATTCTCTAAAATCTCCTGTATTAATCATACCATGTTGCCTAAATTTTCCTTAGGAGAAATGTTTTAAAACTAATTCCTTATCATTTACATGATGATGTGGCATTGAAATTAAATATTTTCTCAAAAAAAAATTTTTATCATTAGAGGTAACATGAGAGTAAAGTTAAGAGTGTATGTGCATACATTGAGGAAGACAAATAGTGAAGGAAATTGTGTACTCCTTTTGTAATGCGGTATACATATTGAATAATATAAAAGTGAGTTTCAAAATGGTCACAGTAAGCCAAATCGCATGGAGCAAGTTCCGCATGACAAGTACTTCCAAGGTCTTTAAAAGTTTCTTTGAAAAACTTACCCATCGCGATACGAATCCTTTACCGTGAATAATGGCACAAATAATTTCCAGCTTAACTTTTATCATAAAAGAATATATCTAATGCTATACAAGTTGTTAGGTACACGAAGATATTATTTTTATAAGAATTCTCCCACGCGAGGGACTAGCTGTTTTAAACTAGAGTAGGGAGACTCTTTCACGCCATGGGAGACACTCTCTCTCACATTGGGATACTGGGTCTCCCAAACTTGGAACAGAAGCGATACTAACACATTCGGAGAGCTATTAAACTATTAAATAGACAAATTTTCTCTTATTGTAAAGTGCGAGCAAACGTATAGAGATGCTATGTAAGGGATGAGCTGTAATTACAGCGTATACTTTGTTAAATATTTTCTTAAAAGAGTTTTAATCGAAAATTAAGATATTTGCATTGGTATGTTGCTGTCTATGATTTTTCTTTTTAAAATCATCATTAAAAAATGCAATATAAAATCTGAGAAATTGTTTTGCAAAAGAAGAATTTTATTACCATAAAAACGTCTTTAAAATAATAAATATTTTTAGCAACAAAAAGTTGAAATTATGACCATTGCAGATAATTACTGCTTGTATTCTAATTGAGTGAAATTTGCAATTGTAATATAAAAAAAAAAATTTGTTTAATCAGACATAATAATATGAAATTTACTATGGGTAAGAATTAGTTCAAACCTTTATCAACAGTTAAATTGTTTTTGTTACAATACTGAAAGTAGGAGCAGAGATAAGTAGGGAGATTGCCAGTGCCTATGTTAAAGAGTGTGCCGATGTTTCGGCGCTGATTTGGTAATCAGTGATCGGGAGATCAGTGAGGGAGACATGAGAATCCAAATTTTGTGCATCGGTGATGGAGATGGAGATGGAGGAGAAGCTAAACCTATATGTATATGCATACAACGGGCTATATATCTATAGCTATAGTTGTACACTGCAAATACGGAAAAGAGCTGCGCGTATTACTTTTCTCGCTTTTCTTCCCTGAAAGAAAGATAAGCTTTTTAAATGCAGTTGATCATTCGTTCAACTATAGTAAACAAAAACATAATTGTCAGGTTATTAACAATTTTTTTTTCATTTTTCAAAAAATGACAAGCTCAACGTAATTAGTATATTATTTTGCTTTATTAATAAACGAGCACCTTTATCCCAATAATCCGCTGCGCTCAATTGTTCTTCACTTTTACGATAAGTGAAATTATTGAATAATAAATAAAGGCATTCACCACAACGATACAGTACGCTCAAATACTTTTCGTACTAAGTAATATTATTTACTAATATACTGAACACCTTTACCCGAACGCTCCATTGCACTGATATCTTCATTTGTTAATTTATATTTTTTCACCATTAATACATAGCTTAACGGCAGTAATATGATAAAGCTAAAATTAAATCTCAACCTTCGAAACTTTACGATAAACATATGTAACGTTTAGTCTCATCATACCCTAAGCGTTAATAGCTCAGATGGCTAGAGCAGGAGGGAGAATTTTAGTTTTGCAGCTCTGGGTTCTAATCTCACTTGGAGCCATTTTTTTTTTTTTTTTTNTCAAAAGATTTTTTTTTTCCAATATTGGTACACGATTCAAGAAAATTTTTTTCCATTTATGGCTAAAAAAGTTATTTGTAATGAAAAGCTTTAGTAATGAACGAGCGCCTTTATCCCAATAATCCAGTGCGCTCAATTGTTCTTCACTTTTATGATAAGTAAAATTATTGAATAATAAATGAAGGCATTTACCACAACGACAAGATATGTTTAAATATTTTTTGTACTAATTAATATTATTTACTAATATACTGAACACCTTTACCCGAACGCTCCATTGCACTGATATCTTCATTTGTTAATTTATTTTTTTTCACCATTAATACATAGCTTAACGGCAATAATACGATAAAGCTTAAATTAAATCTCAAGCTTCGAAACTTAACGATAAACATAGTTAACTTTTAGTCTCATCATACCCTAAGCGTTAATAGTTCAGATGGCTAGAGCAGGAAGGTAAATTATAGTTTTGCGGCTCCGGGTTCTAATCTCACTCGGTGCAAATTTTTTTTTTCTTATTATTACAACACTACTTCAAACGTTTCACACTTCTTTTTATGATTACTTACGTATTTTGTTTTACCAGTGACCAAAAACATTTTTTTCAATGACTTTTTATGAAGAAGTAATTATCAAAAAAAAAAGTCATTACAGCTTTGTTTGTGGTAATACCTGTTATAGGTTATTATGAAAAAATGCACGTTCTCTCTGTAGTTTTTCCGGGCTTGGAGACCGGCACACTAAATGTGGCCACATTACGCTCGCGTTTTTTTTTTTTTTTTTCAATATTTGTGGAGTGCACGACGAATTCATTGAGAATACTTCTTTAAGGCAAATTAAATAATAAAAAGTACTTAAGTACAACAACGAATTAATAAATACTCGAAATTTTTTTAACTCTTATAATTTGAAGTACTGATTTGTAAGTTGAGTTGTTTCCCGAAAGCACTATAATTATTTCGTTAAGCGATTTTTTTACGACTTAAATTAAAAAGTATAATACAATTCTCAGTGATGCGGTATATCGACAGGAAT